GGGGGGGGGAGGAGATAGGCAAACAGAAAACTGGCAAACAAAAAAAGGAACAGACAGACAGCGACAAACAGACACGAGGAGCACAGGAATAAGCACCATTCTGCACATCCAGCTCTGGAGTAGGGCTGGGCAATGAGTCGCTTTCGCAAAATGTGGATAATAATATGTTAGCGCACATCTTCAGCAAATAATACGATGATATGAACCGCTTCGGCAAATTGGTTAGAACCACTTCGACAACGGGTTAACACTCATCATCATCATCATCATCATCATCATCATCATCATCATCATCATCATCATCATCATATCCAGTGCCAGATCTGCGACAGACATCGGCGATCATGGTTTTCCATTCATTCCTTTGCTCGATGCTCTCAAAAAAGCGACGTTTCCCTGATCTTTCCCTGTTACCCATTTGTTTAGGTTCCCTAAGTATGTTGTTCTGGGCCTACCCCTGCCTCGCTTGCCCTCAATTTTGCCACTTCGACAACGGGTTAGCACTACTTCAGCAAATTATAGGAACACCCACTTCGGCAAACGGGTCAGGAAAGAGAGTTTAAGAGTCTGAATTCGGATAATGTTTCAGTAAGAATTATTCGGTTATCCGGATTGGTATCCGGATTTTGCCCACCTCTACTCTGGAGCTTTTTCCCACCCCTCAGATAAATGCGGAAGGCGAGCCTTCTGCTGGGTCGATAGCGAGCAAAAGGCATGAATCTTTTTAAAAAATGAAATAAATAAAAAAAATCACATCCAACATGAAGCAATAACATAATGTTATTTCAAAGGAGGCAGCTAAAGGAACGAAATGGAGCAGCAAAATAACAGATCTGATGGAGGGAGGGGCCGACCACAACAAACAAGTAAAGACGAAAGTTTAGTTTTTTAGTTTTAGTAGGTGTTTTACGGCGCTCGCAACTGCATAAGGTCATATGAGCGCCAGAAGATTAGAGGTTTCAGAAGAGAGTAACAAACACAAAAAAGATGGAGGGGAGATAGGGACGATAGATGTTTGATAGGAAAGAAGAAGCAAACCACACCAAAGCACCCGCCAACAACCAACTGGAATTTTTTTTTTTTTTAAGGAATAAAGAATCACATCCAACATGAAGCAATAACATAATGTTATTTCAAAGGAGGCAGCTAAAGGAACGAAATGGAGCAGCAAAATAACAGATCTGATGGAGGGAGGGGCCGTTCACAACAAACAAGTAAAGACGAAAGTTTATTTAATTTTTTTTCTTCAGTTTAGTAGGTGTTTTACGGCTCTCACAACTGCATAAGGTCATATGAGCGCCAGAAGATTAGAGGTGTTACAAGAGAGTAACAAACATAAAAAAAAGATGGAGGGGAGATAGGGACGATAGATGTTTGATAGGAAAGAAGAAGCAAACCACACCAGAGCACCCGCCAACCACTCACATGAAAGTTTAGACAGAAAATGGACGAAAAAAACATTAAGGCAGTACAGTACATGTTATATATTACGCTCAACACCGGGTATCGTTAAATAATAGTTTCTTTCTACTCACAGGCTCGATCAGTTTGAGTTTTGAGTACATTAGAGGATAGTCAGACAGTGAGTTTTGAGTACATTAGAGGATAGTCAGACAGGCAGAGTGGGTGGTTGTCGGGTGTTCCGGGGTGAAGAATACAACCCCGAGGGTACAAAATGACCCCGGGGTTACAAAATGACCCCAGGGGTACAAAATGACCCCGGGGTTACAAAATGACCCCGGGGTTACAAAATGACCCCAGGGTTACAAAATGACCCCAGGGTTACAAAATGACCCCGGAGGTACAAAATGACCCCAGGGCGTACGGATAGGGTTAAGCTTTAGGCTACCTCAGAATTAGAAGGTTCTATCTGCTCAGAAATAGTTTTGAGAAATTCGACATTAAAAATTTTGAGTTTCACAATGTGTCA